CTGGTCCCGGGAAGAGGCGGAGGGTTGTGTAGCAGCGGGTGGCTGGTTCGTGCCATGCCAGGTGCAGTGTCTGCTGGCTGGTTGCTGGCAGGCTTGCACCTGGCACGGGCACCGTAGCCAGCCCGTGCCCCTTTAAGAGGTCCGGGGCCGGGACGGGGGCATAGAGTTTCCCTGGTGTTGGCCAGAGTGGCCACCAGGGAAACCTGGGGAGGGCTAGCCTCCCACTAGTTCGAATTAAGGGGCTACACACCCCTTAATTCGAACTAGTAAGTTCGAACTAGGCTTAATCCTCGTAAAATGAGGTTTTCCTAGTTCGAACTAAGCGCTCCGCTAGTTCGATTTAAATTCGAACTAACGGAGCGCTAGTGTAGCGCCTATGAATGTTAGTTCGAACTAACGTCCGTTAGTTCGAACTAACATTGTAGTGTAGACATACCCTTAGTGATTACTCGACTAGTCGCTTCCCCGCCCCTGCTGCCTCTGAATCAGAGGCACCAAGGTGGGAGGAGCAGGTTCCTCTTAAAAGCCTGCGGTGGGGAAGAGGGGGCAGGGGAGGCAGAGGTGTATTGGGGAAACGGTGTTCTGTGGGGTATGGACTGCTGTGCCTCTCCCTTTGAAATGTACAAGAGCCATCAGTGGCTCTTGTACATTTCAAAGAAAGAGGTGCAGTGGGGAATCTGTGTGAATTGGGCGGCTCCTGTACATTTCTAAATTGCAGCAAGGGAGGTTTAGGTTGGACTTTAGGAAAAATTGTTCTCCTTGGCCTCTGATGATAGGACAAGAAGGAGTGGGCTTAAATTGCAGAAAGGGAGGTTTAGGCTGGACATTAGGAAAAAGTTCCTAACTGTCAGGGTGGCTAAGCACTGGAATAAATTGCCTAGGGAGGTTGTGGAATCTCCATCACTGGAGATATTTAACAGCAGGTTGGATAGACATCTCTCAGGGATGATCTAGATGGTGCTTGGTCCTGCTGTGAGGGCAGGGGACTGGATTCAATGACCTCTCAAGGTCCCTTCCAGTTCTAGGACTCTATGATTCTATGATTTCTAAGAGGAGAGGTGCAACAGTTGGGACCTGGCGTGAGTGGGGAAAGCTTCGGTCCCTGCTCATGTGGGTTTCCCCCTGCGCCTCTGCCTTTGAAATGTAGAAGACCCGCCAGCGGTGCAGTGGGATAGTGAGCACCCACCTTATCGACTATTCGAGTAGTTGATGAAAATTCCATCGACTACTCAATTAGCTGATTACTTGAAATTTAACATCCCTACACCCACTCACAGTGGGGTGGGCCATCAGGGTCTGTCACACCTGCCTCCCTATGGGAAACCTTTCTGCTGTTCCGATAGCACTATCTTGGGTGAGGCACTAGCGTCCGGCCTACCCAGTTTAGGGATGTGAAAGGTTAACCGGTTAACTAATAAGCATCATCCTTAACAGGTCAGACTTACCAGTTCTGGTTAGTCGATGGGGACTGGAGCAACACCCTACCTGTCATTGGCGGGGGGGTTGCTACAGCCCCATTGGGCCTGCCACGGACAGGGGCTGCTCTAGACATCTGGAGCAGCCCTTGTCTGTAATAGACCTGGGGGGAGAGGCACAGGTAGGGTGGACCAGCCCCTGCCTGCGGCTGTGGTGGGTGGGGCCGGGCTGCTCCAGCTCAGCTGGACTTGAGTGGTCCCCTCCTTAACTGGTGAACTTTCATGTTTAACTGGTTAACTAGTGACACAGGATTTTATATCCCTAACCCAGATAGCACCGTAAGCCCACTCTGGCTTGCACACTTCTCTGGTGCCACAGCAGGAGCCTTGGAAAGAGGCTTCTGTGGGAATGATCAGCCTCGCCAGCCTGTGCATGTGAAGCAGTAGCACAGTGTTGCACTCAGGATTCAGGACCAGGATTCAGGACCAGGGCCCGGTACCTTCCTCCTCCGGCTGCACAGAGTCACAGATTGCAAGGCCAAATGAGAACACCGTGATCCTCTGATCTGACTTGTTGCCTAGCACACAGGGCCCAGAGCTCTAGAAGTCATGGAAGTCCGGCAGCAGAGCTCCTTCTGCTGACCTGTAGCAATCCCCGCATGGTGACCATTGGAGGAGCTCTAGAGCAGTGGTTCTCAACCTGATTTGATCCCGTCCCCACTTATTTGAATCAGTATTTGCTTACACCTCCCATGTAGAAATTCCGCCACCCACCTCTGACGGCAGAGAGTTGAGAGCAGCAGCTGCTGGCTGGACGCCCAGCTCTGAAGGCAGTGCCATACCCAGGGGAACCGACAGCCATTCTGGACCCCTTGGCAAGGGTGGGAGCTTCTGGAAGGGGGAGGGCCTCAGGCAGAAAGGGCAGGGCCGAGTGCAGCCAGCTCTCAGCACTGCCCAGATCACAGTGCCCTCTCCGCAGCGCTGCCTGAAGCATGCTGCATGTTGCCCCTGCCTCTCCGTAAAGCCCTAAGAGCCGCCTGGAGCATGCTGCATGGCACTCCAGCAGCAATTTAAAGGACCTAGGGCCCTGGGTAATACCACCGCCCAGCAACAGCAACAGCTGGAGTCCCAGGCCCCTTTGAATCACTAGGCCCTGGGGCAGTTGCCTGGTTCTCCCCCCCCCCATCGGCGGCCTTAGCCACACCAGCAGCAGCAGTGCAGAAGTAAGGGTGACAATATGAAAAATGATAGTCATCAGCATCACTTTTCACAGCAGACTTATTGCCCCACCGACACTCTTACTTTCGTGATGCTGCTGCTACCTCGGGGACAGCCGAAGCGCTGCTACTTCCAGGGGAAGGGATTGGGGATGGGGAGGTAAAGGACAGCCTGGGCCAAGGCTGCCTCCTGATTGGGGACTGAAAGTCAGGCGAGGGAGGAGAGCCTGTGCAGCAGGGCTCTGGCTGTCAGCTCCGGGGTGGTGGGACTCCGGCTGTCTCCTTTATCCTCCCCTCACCACCCGGGTGAACACATCCCTCCTGAACAAGCCCCAGCTGCCCGGGGCTGACTGCTGGAGCTCTTGAAAAAAGAAAAAGTGCACAGCTTGTGCCTCCCATGGCAGGCCTGCCCGGCTTGAGACCTGATGTTCTGTCAGCAGGGAGTCTGCCATCAGGAGGCAGGAGGGGTAACTTAGGCCAGTCTGGACTAGAGGTCATTGGCCACAAAATGTCCCACTGTCAGCAAGCCCGATGCAGCATGCCCAGTGCTAGTAGTAGTGGGAGTCCTGTCTACATGAGGGTGAGCACCATTTCCACCCCTGGAGGAGCTTGTCTGGGTTAGCCAGGATTGGAAAGTATTTCTGCTAATACAAGTGTAGATTAGGGTGACCAGGGAGCAAGCGTGAAAAATCGGGACGGGGTGAGAGGTGCACGAAAGCTCCAAATACCAGGTCCGTCCCTATAAAATTGGGACATCTGGAACTCTGAGGACACTCTTGGAGAAACCACCCAACGTTGTGCACGTTGCATAAGTGATCTCAGATGCTCTCTCTTTTATTTCCACCAAGGCTTGGCATTTCTGGAGCACAGCACAAAAACTAAATAAGCCTGGCCACCCTCTGAGAGGTGGGTGTTGTGCTCCCCAGCTTACAGAGGAGAAAAAGGATGGAAGGAAGGGAAGTGTTTTTCTCTGGGCCACATGGCTAGTCAGTGGCAGAGCTGGGATTTGAACCGGGGCTCCTGACCTCCCCACGTGTCCTTCACCGAGACTTAAGAAGCAGCAGGAGCAAGAGCCTGTAGAACAGCACCCTCAAACTCTTCAAATCTGTTCCCAGGAAAGGAGTCCCTGAGATCTACCTCCTCATGGCCAATGCCAACTGGATTCTGTTCTGCCTAGCACGTCACCGTCAGCTAAATTCTGATGGGGGCCCCATCCATGGGGTGAGGTCAGAGGCAGAGACCAACCTGGCTGGAATTTTCACAACTAAGGTGGCAAAACTGGAGAACCGAGCCATTTGGATCTACAGTCACCAGGCCAGGCCAGGCCCTGATCTCCCCAGTGTCAGCCCAGAGCAGCGGCAGGGAAAGCTAGCAGGGTCTGACCCCTTACAGGAGAATGAAAAGATTCAGCCTCTCCATGTCATTTCTAAAGAGATGCCAGGCTGTGCAGCTGTAACTCGCGAGGGGGAGGGTTTATCCAGCCGAGCAGCTCCAAAGTCTGGAGAGGGACAGCTCACCCCCATGAGCAAGAGCTGTGCAATCCGCACTTGGCACTCTCGTCTGGGCTTCCTGCTCTCATAAGAGCCTCACTGCTCATGGTACCTGCCATTTATAGACACAGTGGTTAGTTTATGTTACCCTAGCCCTGCTCGTCAAATAATGACTCACTTCCATATCTGGCACAGGACTGACCTTCCTGGTGTCCTGTGGATTAAAGAGAAGCTGGGCAAGTCA